AGAGAGAGAGAGAGAGAGAGAGAGAGAGAGAGAGAGAGAGAGAGAGAGAGAGAGAGAGAGAGAGAGAGAGCAATCAAAGGAGTGCTGGAAAAGAGACCAGGGGAACGGAGAGGCACGTCCAATGTTCTGAACAGAGAATCTGATATGGACGACAGAGACACGGCATGTATCTTCCTCATGCAAAGTGAACCAGTGTGATGACGCTGAGCCTTTCGTACTGACCCAAGAAACAATATTCCATGCGGTGCGATCCCGATGAAAATCAATGTGTGCGCCGCCCGTCAACACCTCCAGAAGCACGACACCAAAGCTGTAGACATCACTTTTCTCTGACAGACAACGGGTGTAGTAGTAGTCAGGATCCACGTAGCCTGCAAACATACAACAGCGATGCCAACCCAGTACTGTCAAGTAAAGAACGAAAAGAAAATGAACTTTATGACACTCAGACTCTATATAGAGTAGATTCAACTTCATTCAAGTCAATTCAACAGCCGAACAAACCACAATTTTCTTAGTTCACGAACAGAAAAAAGCGACAACGAACCACAATTTTCTTAGTTCACGAACAGAAAAAAGCGACAACGTGATCCCAGGTGCAGACAGACAGTGTGCCTGCCTCTGCATGCGGTCCTATTTATCGCCGTTTGTTTGACATCTGCAGGTTTTGAGAAATAATGCTCTACGCTCACTCCCGCCCTCACCAGAAAATAATGCTGGGTGTTACATTCAACTTCCCCTAAATTGAAAGGACAAATGCAATACTGTAATGCTGTGGTGCAGATTGATTGATTGATTGATTGATTGGTTGATTGATTGATTGATTGATTGAGATATCATCATTCAATGATTCAACCGACCGGCCCAAGGTATTCAGAATTGTAGTATAGTACTTTATTCATTTATTTCCACTGGAGTTCGAACTCTGGTCTGTACTTCAACAGTTCAGGGGTGTACCAACTGAGCTACCGTCTTCACCCGAATAGAACGCCCGGTTATTATAGCTGCCATCTGGACTGAAAAACCGGGCGTTCTATTCGGGTGAAGCTGGTAGGCCAGTTGGTAACCCCCCTCATACTTTTTTTTTTTTTTTTTATAGAAAAAATGCCTTCTCCTCATCGGGGGACAACCACGTATTTTTTCTCTCACCTGAGTCACCTCACATATTTGTCAACTGGAGTTCTGCCATGTCATGGAACATATCCTTTTCCTTTCACTTCCTGCCTAATAGTGCCTACCACTACTCCTAAGGCTATACAGGGGACCCTTGCAAGCATAGCTTTTTCTACCTCTCTTCGATGAAGGGAGGTTACCTCTCTCGGTGGAGAGAGGTAATGGCTTGTTTGCCCCTTTGCCTTAGCTTTTAGGGTGCAGGGTTGGGGCCGTCGGTGGGAAGGGCCCGGCTAACACAAGGAGCGAGCATTTTGCCAGCAACTGTGCCTCCCTTTTCATCTTCCCCCACCCCCTACTCATACTTGACTTTCCTGAAAGGTACTGGTGGTTTAACGTGGCCTCAGTTAGCTCGTGGCGGTGATAAGAGCATCTTCCACTAGCAACCTGACGCCGGGTGCTCCGGTCTATTGGTGTGGAGCAGCACCTGCTGGAAATCGGGTCCAGCCTCCCATACAATCTGGTTTCTGAGTTCGCTCTTATGACTGGACACCAGGGCCACTACCCGGCCTCAGTTTCCTGAATCTACCTGCTGGGAGGCGGTGGAGGAGAGGGAGAAGGAGAAGGAGAGGGAGAATGCGAAGGAGAGGTAGAGGGGGAGTGAGGGAGGCAGCTGACATAAGCAGTTGGTCTAACTGGCCGTCAGCCACAGGTACTGGTTGTGGTTCATCTGTGGCATCGCCTTTCCACAGACAATTATATCTCCTTTTCTAACGGTGCTGTCACTCACTTCCTGTGCTACAGCCAGTCGCAGCTCATGTGGGGGCTGAGGCTCATCTGTCTGTATTTGCATCATGGGAGAACTGGTACAGTGAATGGGGATGCAGGACAGTCAGAAGTCTGTCTACATGCAAAGACAAAAGCACTACATGCAAAGACACAAGCAAGTGAAAAACACTCAGGTAATGAACGGAGGGACGGGTAGAACAAGGAGAGAGGGTGAGAGAGGACTCAGAGGAGAGAGAGAAACGGTAACCCCGAGCGCATGAGCGCGTAAGATATTCAATGAATGAGAGCAAGAAAAAACGAAAGAGATGGCGAAAGTCGGGATAGCGTGAAGCTCGACTGGCGATTGTAACCCGACAGCTGTTTCGGCCGGCTCGCCAGCGAACAGGCTCTCCTCACGGGCGCGCTGGGTGTAGGGGTAGAATAGGTTTGGACTAACCCACTTATGTATCAGGACAAAGCCAAAAACAATTACGACTAAGGTACCAGGTCTAACGGACAGAGACCAATAGAACAAGGGACCGACAGAAAAAGAACCAAGGAAAGGCCCAGGGTACCAGCTACCAAAAGGTCCATCAGGTAAAACATTGGACCCACGGCCCCCAGAGCCCCCTTATATTAGTATTAAAATGGACAAGGGTGCAGGGTCTGGGACAAAAGGAAGGCTGGATTGAGTCAATACAGACCCAGCGAGGAGTATAAAGGAGGCAGCCAGCCTCATTCCTACCC